TAATATTATTTTGCTATGTTAACAAAATTTGAGTGTGAATACCAAGGCCATGGTCATTGGATTAAAATATATAGTTCCTTTAATTTTATCTACAATAGTTAATATGACTACTCAAAATGAAAAAGATAAAGACTTAATTTAGAACATATATGTGCAAAATGATAGATACTTTTAACATTCATTATTGGTTTTATAATGAATAATTGATGAGATTTGACTTTATATCATGGATCAATTTATGAGGGCAAGGAAACTAAATATTACAATTTATCATCTCTTTAAATTTGGTTTGGTTAGATTATAAATATACCAATCTTAACAAATTCACACATCTATCCTAAAATTCAATCAATGGATCCACAAAATTAGAAGAGAAATTTTAATTTTACAACAGATTTCTTTATGTGAAAAATACCCTACAGTATATGTATACAATGCAAACCAACACTTAGAAAGTAATAATAACCAATTACAAACTGGACCTAAACTCTCAGAAAAGAAGATTCACACTTATAACTTCAAAGTTTTGAGTGTCTCAATCTCTTCACAACTCAAAAGGCCTTATTAGCACTAAGGAATTTTTAGAAAAGGACTTTACTAATTCAGGCAATTTGGAGAGCAGAGTCAAGCGTAACCTAACGATTTGGCAAACTGACTGACGAGAACTAAATTTTGTAAGAAATTAATTGATCAATTTCCCCAAATGGAATTAAATCTCATCTGCAATTAACTATATTTGTGGCCAGATTTTCACCCATGTACATATTTGTCTCCTATCTAACCTAATTTTACACTAATTATGTACACCAAACAAAAAATGGCTATTCTAAGAAATTCCCAAGTAACGAATCAATTTCTCTGTCTCCTTCATCTTTTCTCAAGCTGGATATGAAGAGAGCAAATTCGTAGGTATGCAGGGAGAATTCTTCCATGCTCGAGCGTGCAACTTAAGAACCTCTCTGGCCCTCTCTTTTATTTTGCTGCTGCAATCCACTTGAAGCACCAAGCACAGCTTTGACACCACACCTAACTGCAGCATCTCCTGAAGAACGCTGGGTGTAGCGCAGAACTTCGACACCACTAGCAGAATCCTCACTGCTCTCTCACTTGCCACCTGGGAAACCCTAAGAATTTTCTTCGAAACAACTGCAAGCCCTGCGGCATGCCCCAATAGCTTCGCCCTCCCTTCGGCACAACCACACATCATCTCCAGCACTGTCAGTATCATCTCACATGCTCTATTCTCTGTAGAATCGAGAAGGAGATCTATCAAGACTGGTACTCCTCCTGCTTCAACTGCTTTCACCCTGTTTCCCCCCCATGGACAAACATTTATCAGGAGCTGCAGCATAGCTTTTGACGCCTGGTAGGATATCTGATCTTGCAAGATTTGGATCGCTTCAATGAAGAGCTGAGGTTTCAATCCAATAAGTTGCATCGAATCTGCTACTTCCATCAGTGATTTTAACAATAAAGCCCCGTATGCTCGGGACTCATATGTCCCACGTTGCATAACTCGGGTTAAGCACTCAACAAAATCACTATTTTTTCCAAGAAGAATCTTTAGACCGGATTCTGATAGTTGGAGATTGTAGAGGATGCTTAAGGCCTCGTCTGTTGGTCGAGTGGAGTCAACTCCATCTTCAGATGATTCTTCCATGGAATTGGAATTGATTACAATTGCGGCCAAGAACTCAACTGCGCCTGCTGCTTCAATACACCTTTTGTTTGTTGCATTTTCCGCGGCTATTGATTGTAGTCTACGGAGACAACTTCTCTGCTGCTGTGGAGACTTGGCATCGGTGAGGAGCTTAGCGATCTGAGCTTTGTTGATAGGTGGCCTCGGAGTAGGGATCCTTTCGAATCCATGCGAGGCATTAAGCACGCACCAGGACTGGATCAATCGCCGGAGTGTATGGTTCGGAGTAAGCTCACTATCCGCAATAACCTGTTTTGTCACCGGACAAGTAGTGTTCTTGCCGGAATACAACCATTTCTCTATGCTTTCCCTGTCGTAAGTGATCCCCGTGGACACCGTCACAGGATCCTTCATGATCTCAAGAGAAATAGGGCAGAGGAAGAACGGAGGAACATCGATTTCTTCCATCGAAACAAGATAAATGTTCAGACCAAAAAAAAAAAAACCCAGATGAAGTTGAATCAAAACAAATTGAGCTAGGAGTTGACGAGAGAATATGATTGAAGGTAGTTTGTGAATTGGTTTGAATGAAGAGATGCTTAGGTGCTTCGGTTTTAAGTATATATAGATGGATGGGAAGTAGAGAGAATTCAAAGGTAGAAAGTCAAAAACACGGAAAACGTATGCAAAATTAAAGTGCAAAGAGATAGGCATGACTTTTCCAAAGGATTGAAAGGCTCAAGGCCGAGTTAAAATACCTGGCAAAACTTTGTATCAAGCCCCTAAACTTTTTCCATTTTTTCACATAAGCCCCCAAAGAAAAACAATGCTAAACAAACTCCTCAATTCCTCCATCTTTGCAAATTTATCTTATATTAATAGCAACAATCACATTTTGTCACTTAAGTTAAATGATCATTTGTTTTTTTTATATGACATTCTTTTTACACCTAAGTACTGATATATCAAAGAAATATCATGTGATAGTCATGATTATTACCATTAAATAAAGGTTAATTTCTTAAGATAGGTTCGTTCAAAGGCTTGTGTGTCACTTTTTTTTCTTTGAGGATTTGTATGTGAAAATGGGAAAAATTCAGTGACTTAACACTGAGTTTTGCCAAACTTGTTCGATTTATTTATGCCGATGCTATTATTGTGAATAGTCTAAAAAAAAAAAAAAGGGAAATGACATGTGACGTTTTCTTTCTTTGACCTCGTGCCTTTTTACGGACTCTGTTCAGAGTCGGTGTTGGCCGACAAATTCCAATAGAGTCAGTGGTGACTTTCTCGGCGGCCGCCTCGTAACACTCTCATGTTTCCCCCCCACCCCCCCCTCCCCCCTTTTTTTTATTTTATTTTTATTTCTTAGTAAAGAACACTCCCATGTTTTTACTTGCCTTTGCGGTACT